CCTCCAAGAACGGTGCCGTGACGTCTTTGACGACCCCCAAGGGAATGGCGGCGGGATCTTGTTCCCAGGCCACCATCCCGACGCCCTCTACCGCGTCGACGGTGGACATCACTGCAAACAACACAACATTCAACACGACAATGGATTCGGGTGCGCAGCCATCGAAAGATCTCTGCAGGAGCCTTCTTGCCGATTCAAGCATGGATGYCAATAACGATACCAGAAGCACATCGGTCGCGGTGGATGAGAAGCCGGAATCAGAGAAAACCTCCTCGGACCCGGAGGGAAGAGACTTCGGCCCCTGCCCTCGACAWGATGAAAAAGAAAGCGATTGCCAGGCGACACATACCGAAACTGAGAAAGTACCACCGACTAGTATCGTGACAGCARCGGCAACAGCATCATCATCGGCCAAGACCGACGACGCGACTACTTCTCCAAGCGAGTTGTGGAAGGTCCTGGACCGCCAGCTCCGCTCCAACATCGGAACCAGCGTCCGATGCGGGATCTGCCTTTCCACCGTCAGCGATCCGGTCCGGACCCAGTGCTGCCACGGCTTCTGCCGGGAATGCATCACGGGGTACCTCCGGGCATCGGGCTCCAACAAGTGCCCCGAGTGCAACGCGTTCTGCACCCGGCGCTCCCTCGAGTCCTTTGAGCAGCTCGACGACCTGGCCGATGCCTACAAGGGCATGCTGCGGGCCTTTGGGCTGGCGCCCGGAACCTACCGGCCGGAGATCACCACCATGACGCAAAAGGTGGATTTCGGCCGGGAATCCGGGGGGAGCGATTCCGACGACGACGACGGGGACAGCGAGCGGGCCAGGCTCGATCGCCTCTGCGTGGCCAAGACCTATGAATTGGAGGCACTGCCGCTGGTGGGATGCTCGAAGCTACAAGTAAACGAAAACCACCAGATCGTGGCCGCCAATTTCGAGGCATGCTTCGAGGACGAGGCKGTGGATCCGGAGACTATGGGCGAGTTGCTGGAAAACCTCGTGACCGAACGGTGCGGTGTCGGTAAAAGCGGCAGGAACAATGACCCAAAGCCATCGCAGCGAAATGAGGATACTGCAACAACGGGTGTCCTGCCCAATACACAAGAAGTCCAGGAGCAAGCCAGGGAACAACTGGAAGCCGATCGGGAAATGCAAGAAAATTCAATGGAAGACGAGGAGGAACTGGAGAAATTACTACGTTTGACAGAAAGGCAAACGGAAGAAAGMACCGCTACCAACCCTCTCGATAGGGATTCCCAAGAGACAACCAGTGAGAGACAAATTAATGTCTGCGAGAAACWAAGTGCAGGATCCCAACTGTTTGCAACCGCATCACAAGGAGAAGACTTCCTACATGATGATCCCACCGAGGAACTCATGCGAGACGGGCTTGCTGATGCTGCAAGCGAAAAACCTTCAACCTCCCCAAATAAGAACGAGACTCGCGGTGACATCTTTGACGGCCCACCTCCCTCGCCTCCGCCGGAGTTACCGGCCTTTGCCAGGATCGACAACGGCATCCAGAACCGTCGGCATACTCGGAAATCCTTCTCCAGGCACGATCGCCGGAATTCCACCGAAAAGAAATCTTCGACCCCTCCTCCGCCTTCTAGCATCGAGGCGGGAGAGCTCTTTGAGGCGGATTCGCTGTCGCCGATCGATCACGAAACGTCTTACTGGGCGGAAGACTCGTCCCATCACTTCGCGGAAGATCCCGGCAACGACGTCACCGGGATGATGGAGGATTCTAGGGGTGGGATGCACATGATGCCRCTGACAATTCCACGCGATCAMTCTCACTCCCAACATAAAGAAACCGACAACGAGGTCGATGGCTCTGACAGTAGTASAGGTAGAGCTGCTTCTGGTCAGAYAAAGAACGGTGGTGGCAGAGGACAAGATGACGGAAGCAACGGTTCRAACAGTGGCACACCATCTTTCGAAGAAAATGCTGACAAGGATCGAAACCACGAAAACGATAGTGCTCTGCCTCCTGGTAGCAACGGTGGCAGTGGCGATGATGAAGAGAGCTCAGACAAGACTATACCAATGACGGCGGAGGACAGAGGCAGCGAATCGGACAGCAGCAGCAACGGAAGCTCGAGCCTAACGAGTGGTGTAGACGAACCCACTCACTACGACTCAACAAAACTTACCCAGGTCACGGAAGAGCTCCACGAATCGACCAAACTGGAAATCGAAAAGGCATCGACCCTACCGGCGGGGCCAAAGACAAGCGGTCGGCGGCAGCTTCCCTCGAAAAAGAAGCTCTTCGAAGCGGGAGAAATTGTTGCGGAGAACGGCGGAGAAGAGGGCCCGATTGTGCCGAACGACAACAGTGGCTTTGTCACYTACGATCCTACAAAGCTCACCCAAGTCACGGAAGAACTCCACGAGTCGACCAAGGAGGAAATTAAAAAGGCGGCAAGCCTGCCGGCGGGACCCCGACCCAGAGGCTGTACCAAAAAGATCTTATTCGCTGTCGACGATGATGGCAGTTCCAAAAAGCGACCATCCAACGATACCGCAAAACGTTCTACCGCTAGAACAAAGAGTACTAGAAACACCAGCTTAGGAGGTGTAGATGGTAATGATTCCAAACCAGCTCAAGAAGGCGAGGAAACCCAGGAGTCATCATCAGCGATTTGGACAAAGGGAACGATTGTTAGAGTCCAATCCAGAACATGGCCTGGAGTGAATAAGCCAGGGGGAGTGGGACGTATTATGGCAATCAATTCCGATGGCACCTACAATGTTGCTTATGTTCTCGGTGGGAAAGAGTCGAACATCGACAAAATCTTCATTCAGAAAGAAGATCAGGGGGATAGCGAGTCCGGTGAACCTGGTTCTGGGGGGGTTCAAGTTCGTCGTAGACGTCGTGCAAAGGAGAACGACACTGCGGATTTACCTGAAGAGCTCCTCCGTCAACTTGCCGAAGAAGGCTTCGATGTTCCGGGGCAGAAGGGGGGAAAGAAGCGAAAGAAAAACAACCGCASCGCCCTATCCGATAACACAAATTCTGAGAATGGTGGACGCCGAAATCTCAAGAAACCTCCGAAAAAGAATAATACGGCAACAAGAACARATACAGGTGGTGGATCGAAAAGGAAACGCAGTACTCCTTCAAGCRACTCCGGTGCGATACCTRCAAACACAGTGCAACAAACAGCRCGACCGAAAAGGAAAGGGAGAAGCACATCTCGAGACCCACCCWCTTCGACAARCAAGGCGTCAAATGCAAAATCGGCCAAAGCAGATGATCTTCCAAATACAGTAGTTAAGAAGTATAAGAAAAGCGTATCTTTTGCAGAGAAGGAAAGTGAGGGAAATGTCACTCGGAAAMCWAGCTCGGGAGCYAGTAGGAGGGCAACGAAGGRCCAAAGGMGAGAATCCAATGTCTCACCCTTTGATTTTCTTCTCAGGATTCCCAACGAAGAGGCCGTGAAGCTAGCAAACAGAAGATACCATCTYGTTTTTCAGGAAGCGATCGACAACAAATTAATCACTGTTGCTTCTTCAAACCTAAAAGACGAGGATAAGGCCATTCTSAAGTCTTTATGTGCGAAGACATTTGAAGGGGGTGTAAAAATAAAAGTGACCGAATCTGTGAGCAGGAAGACTACACTCTGTATCGTTCCGGCAGAAAACAAGGAAGGCGACAAGGCGAACATCCAGTCTGGCATGCGCACGCTGAAGGTCATGCTATCGGCCCTTGCGGGGATCCCCATCGTAACTCCCGATTGGTTGCGATCTTGCTACGTGGAATCAAAAGTTGTGCGTCCCCAGAGATTTRTTCGGAGCATGCCAACAAAAAATAAWGMAATTGAGAACTGTGGTGGAACGAACTATGGTGTGGCTAAACTGGCAGCATCATGGAATACCAAACCGAAAGCACCGGCTCTGCCGTTTCGAAAGACCTTTGTATATTTTTGTGGAAGTTATACGGTAGATAACAGAAAGTATATGCAGGATTTACTGAAAGCAGGCGGTGCCAAAGTGCTGTTGAAGCCTGCGGACATTTCCTCGAAATTGAAGAGCTTGCTGGAATTGAATCCGCGTTCGTTTTCGCCCACTTCCGACAGGTTGGTGATCTTGTGCGGTGGCTCAGGTACAAGCTTACCGAAATCTTTGGAGAAGGATCTCAAGGCCACACTTGAGAGAAACGAACTCTCGACCGYAACCGCGGACTCGCCCCCGTTCACAATCGTCGTTGATTTTCAATGGGTGATYGAGTCCGTAGCGTGCGCCAAACCGATGCCAGCGGCTTTCTTYGAGCCTAAAATCTGCAAAAATCTATGGAAGCTTTGCCCTYCGTAAAGAAAAGTTTTGGTTCGCTGCAAAGGGTGTTCTCCTGAAATTATAGCTAAACACATTAACAACGACGTCGGTTTRAAATGTATTATTCAAGTTGTTCTTTCACATTTGACATTGATTACGAAACAGTTACTTGTATTCTAGATGATCTTGTTATTGCAAGATTCACAATCCTCCATTGCCTTTGCCTTTTTCTTTTCGGCATTCAATCGCAGCAATTCCTCGAGAGGCGTCCCCCTGGTAATCTTCGTCCGGTTCCGTGCAAAAATCTCGTATCCCCAATTCAAAAATCGATTGACTGCTGGCACTTTGYTTATTTTCCAAATCCATCCCAGTCCTACTTGGTCATAGGAAATTTCAAACACAGGTACGCCCTTGTAGATTGTTCCGTCGTGTTTGATGGCATATATCGCCGCCATGCCCGTATCATAGTCTATTCCACCGTTAGCGGGATCGGTTTCGTCGAAATTGTCTTCCAGGTCCGTTAGTCTCAATTTTCTGTTGTCCGGACCGTTTAAGCGAATGTCGCGGGATACCAACCAATCCATTTCGAGTTTGCAAACGTTACATTTCGAATCGTACAAGACATTGATCTCTTCCGAGAACAACCTCGTRGAAACCGATGCGTCACTCTCTACCTTGGAGCTGCCACCATTGATTGTATCCGAAGATGAAGATAATGATGATGAAGTCGARGATACCTTATCTGCAGCACTTCTCGAGAAYCGAGCTCGTGATTGGCGACTCAAAGCGAAACCGTCGACGAGAATACGTCCTTTGAGGCCATTCCTTGTCATTGCCAGCACCGACATGATAGCAATTGGAATTATCAAMGACAAAGGGGACGGAGAGTTTTTGCTCCGAATTTTCATACCAAAGGCCGACGACGAATTTTCCTTGTGTAAACTAGCTCTCTCGGGATACTACAGCTGCTGTGAGATTTTGCGCCTCCTCTTTTGAAGAGATGGTTTACTAGCTGGCTTCTTGTGCTCCAGGGTTGGTTRCGATGGATTGTAGACTTCTGAGGGATCATTCTTTCAGACATCTAGGATGTCCTTTCACTAGTACGAGTTACGTACGTTCTATTCGTACTCAAACTTTGTTTGACCTGCAATTTTCTATTTTCTTCAATCWTTCTGAGTTTTTCATGTGACGTAAGCACTAATCACAGTTTCCCGGATCCCCTTGATCGGAGGAAGAGGTCGTTTTTCTCGTTATCAGTCCGAAAACTAACTGCGCACGATTCAAAACTGAACCACGTCTGAATTATCAATCGGAACTTCTTCCTCGTTAGTCGTGGATGATTTGACACGTAGCGAATGAGGATGTAAGGCATACAGTATGAAATGTGCCAATGAACACAGCTAAGTACTTGCATGCGTTATTTTGGGTAAAACGGGATCACATAATTATCATAATTCTTTGACAATCTGTTCGTCTAATCTGAAAACACGGAAAAAGTGTACAATCTATCTTCGATAGAGCACAAACCAACCCTATCTTGTTCCAATCAAGAGTCACAGACACATGACCATTTRTAGKAGCAAGAGATCGAGTCGGTACTATAACYCGCGTCTATTTCGAGTGACATTGCTCGTCGTGGCATGGTCGTGTAGCGGAATTGTACAAGAAACTATAGCAGTGGAAGCAGAAGGTTCTCTCATCTTGCCTCCCCATTGCGATGACACACATTGCTACCCTTCGGCGCCACAGAGAAATTTTCTTCGTCCGGAAGATTGGTCACGGAAGATAGCAAAAGAAGCCACATCGTTGGTGGCAGTCGCAGCTGCAAAGCTAAAACGAAAAGCAGGATCGATTTCGGGGACTGTTCAACACCCAGCCTTCCTCGCAGAAAATCACCGCTATCCTAGCCGACGACCTCGAAGTCGAACCAATGCGCAACGAGAAACTAATTCTCTAAGGAACGACGAAAAACCCACCGGGAGCCGTAACAATTTTTATACCATCCGCAACAACATCATAGAATTTCATCGTCCAAAGGCCGAGGATGCCGAAAATGAGAGAAGGCAGTTCSTCCATCGATTCTTTTCCGATAGCCTGATACTGATGTATCATATGTCACGTCATTTGCTACCATAACTTTTAAATAACCTGTAGGCAGTAGACGATYGCCCTGTTGTATTCAACATCTGTTTTAGATACTATAGATTAATTTCCACAAAGAACAATATTCACACTTACGCAGCATGAAGAAACTAGATACAAAACAAAGAAAGTAGACATGATTTCATTGTTTTACCAGATGCAATCTTAAATCTATTTGTCKTCTTTCATTTTATCGAATCCTTCTTCTTCCACCAATTGGATGACCCCGCCATCGACGGAGGCAACCCTGCAGAGAGATTCGATCGGAATGTCAAAGCCGCTCAGCGCCTTTCGACCGGGATCGTATGCCTTTTCTAGCAGAACCCCGATTCCGACCGGATCGGCCCCGGCGTCGGAAAGTATTCTCAGCAGGGCCTCCTGCGACGAGCCGCTGCTCAGAAAGTCGTCGACGATCAGCACCCGGTCGCTCTTGTGCACRTGGGACTTGCTGACCAGGAGCTGYCGGTCTTTCCCCACAGTCTTGCTCGAATACGGTGCCGAGTACGTATCGGCCATGACGACGTTTCGCTCCTTTCGGGCGTAGACCACCGGGACTTGCAGGTACTTTGCCATGGGCAGGGCGATCACTAGGCCGGTSGTGGCCACCGTCATGATTTTTGTCGGCTTGGAGTTGACGAACCGCTGGGAGAGTTCCTGCGCGCAGGCGTCCATCAGGTCCACGTCGACRCGGGAATCCATAAACTTGGAGACGTCGATGATGTTGTTGGGAAGGACCCGACCGTCCTTCAGGACCCGGTCCCTGAGCTTGACGCTAGCGGCGCCAGGCAGGCTGTAGTCTCCAAAGATTGCATCGTCCAGGCGCGTCTTAAGGAATTTCTGGTATTCCAGCCCAAAGGTCATCTGAAGTATCTTGATGAGGTTGTTCGCGGCTTGGGAGAGCGGAATATTTGTCCGCTGCGAGTTGCAAAAGTGCATGTCGCAGTCCAGAATGCCGTGAGCRAAGATCTCCTTTTCCCCGTCGTAAAAACAAAAGCAGGAGGTAAACCGGGTGACGCGGGTCGGCTCCGAGAGGGGTTTCATGGCCTCCGCGAGATAGTCCACGTGGTTGGCAATGTCGTTGATCTTGTACCCCGATACGACCCTCGGATCCGACAGCCTCGAGGCCGCCGCAGCCTGGACGTTGGTGGTGGCCGTGACGCTGTCCTTCAGGTTGTTGAGCGACGACGGGACCACGGGCTCGATTTCGAAGGAGCTCCGTGAGGCTATGGTGGGAAGGCCGGTGGCCTCGTAGACCTGCCTTGCCTTCCAGGCCGCCATGTCCTCGATGGAATGCAGGAGCGCGTCGTTCGCGCTCTGGTCCTCAAAGTCCCCGAAATTGTCGGCAAACTCAACGCCGTAATCCCGTAGGTTCCCGATGAGGGGCATGTAGGAGACGTTATCCACGGCGGCCACCCACAGGTGCTCGTATCCCTCCTTCTCGTTCGGTTTGCGCCGGAAGAATTTCAAGGCGTTCGGGGATCGCTTGGCCTTTTCGAGCCGCATCGATCGCGTCTTGACCTTTTTCATTTTCTCGGCGAACTCAGCCTCCTCTTCCTGCAGCTGTTCCTCGTCCATGGGCATGTCCGGGTCGAAATAAAATTCCGAGCCTGTTTTTTGCGCATTCGGGGTTTGATCAATAGATGCATTGATCGACAGATACGATGAATGGATGGGTTAGTAAAAAATCGTAAGTCGGAAACTTCAAAACAATAGACTCCGATACAAATAGAATGGGAAAACAGATGATAGCACAGAAGAGAACTACTGAAATAGAGATAAAAACAGTGGAGTGCAGCATGCTACGACAATCGTGTRCAAGGGCGCCATCAACAGTACGATATACACGCACCTGGTTCCGGAAAGGGGACTTCCATGACGTTTCGCCGATCGTAATCGACGTACTTGCTTTCTTGCCCGTAGTCGTCCCARGGTTCGGGTTTGCCGTCGTCCTCAAAACGAAACACTCCGTCTTCTTCGGCTCCCTCGTCATCGCCGCTGTCCTCTTCGTTTTGCTGCTTCARTGAGTCCCACATGGTCTGCTGGAGCTCCTCGTTCAACCAATTGTCGGGCACCTGGAAGGCCTCGTATTCCGCCAGCGTCGCCTGGGCGATCTTGATCTGTTCCATGGTGGGGACCCTCCGCCGCCTCGGGGGGCCTCCCTCGCCGTTCGGGATCGCAGCGGGAGAGCCCCCCATGTTTGCGTTCGCGTTGGCTCCTCCCGGCCCRCGCTCGAGCTGGGGAAAGGTGGACATCGGGAGCGGTGCGTTGGCGAACCGGGGACTGGGGGAYCCCCCTGTGGACCGGAGGGCCGAGGGGGACCGGGGGGTTCCCCCCGTCATGTTTCCTCCCCCGCCCCTGTTTCCACTACCACTGCCACTGCCGTTGCTCGCTCCTCCGATGTCGTCCACGCTGGGGGTGGAGGCCCCGCCGACCTGGTTGATGAGGCGCTGCCGTTCCATTTCCTGGAAAAATACCTGGTCGGGAGTGGCGTCCTCGTCGACCGGATCGTACCAGTTGCTCATGTCGTCGTCGTCACGGCTGTTGRGTCTTTTTTTGGCGTTTAGCAGGTGGCTCTGAGTCCTAGCCCGGGCTGCGGAAGCTCCGGTTTTGGAACGGATGTTGTGCCCGGTGTTTAGTGACGTCGTCGTTGTCGTTGTCGGTGTTGATGTTGTAGATGTCCAGGCGAAAGCGCCCTTGTCGACTATCGATAACAGCATGAGCCACTGCAGCGGTGACGAAGCAATGACCCATCTCCTGCGTATTCTTCCCGGACTACCATGCTCGGATTGCTCCATGTTTGTTTCGTATTGTCTCGAGATGCGACTGGTGAGTGTTGTCCGTATGCGTATTTCTGTGTTTGAAGCTTACTCCTTAGTGTGTGATGTTAGCATTCGGCTTGCGGGTAATTTGGCTCTCGATGCCGATCGGTGAAGGTCTTGGAACGGTCCTTGCACTCGTAGTTGGTATTTGTATTGGGTTGGTGTCGTTCCTTTTGGTTTGTCACCGTCAGAGTGRTCCGATTGGAACTGTGTTTGATGTGGAYGAGAGGTTGTATCACTACGGGACTACGATTACCGTACGTACTGCCCAACGTACTAGAACTAGTTATTCTTCCAGCCTAAAAATTCRAAGTACGAACGGCACTTCGCGAAAGTAAGACTGTACGGTACYTGGTACTGATTTCTACCGCACCAGAATTTGTGTCGACGCATCTRATCATCACGTTCGGATTGAATCGAATCATCGTTGATTCATTCATCCATTCTTCTTTTCACATCAGGATCCATCGCGCCGATAAACTGAATGAGTGACGCGATTTATCGTACGACGTGACGACCATCCATTATCATTAGAGATAAGGATTTGAATCACCCGTCTTAATAGTGCTTGAAGTGGCCAKTCTTCTTCATGGCCATAGCAACCAACAGTAACAAGCACTTCKAACAAAATCAATAAGGTTGCAAKGTGTTTCATCATGGTGTTCGATCCATTTTCTAAACATACCATCTGTTTTAACCTCAAAGACTACTACTAGTAGTAAAAAACATGGCTCGCTAACACAAATACTTCTTGTTGCTACGGTGCAAAAACTACTACTAAGTTGTTGGTAGTAACAAGGTTGAATTTATGCTCTGGTGAGGTATACATTTATTTGMTCTTCTTATGGTTCCATGTCTCTAAAAATGAATAATCTGTTTTTGTTCAAGGTACTAACTTATTTGCAAAAAMTGGTATACTGGGGTTTACACAAATCCACTCTAAAAAAAGTTTCTTTTTGTTTCCTTGGTAAGTCCAGGGCTGTAAGAATTCTTCAAGGTTACTGGCTACTGTGGAYTAAAGATAGTGGAGTCCACTGCACCGTTGCCAACAACAAATATCTTCACAAAACTTGTCTCTTCTTCTTAGTGGTGCTGGTTTGTTGGAGGAAGGGCAGGACTTTTTTTAGTATTTCGCATCCATTTGGATTCAAGTATTGATCTTGTTTGCAAGGTCACAATTTTKCAGTGGTTGTTGTTCTAGACTGAATTTTTCCTTCTACAAATYYATGGTCCTTGTCATTTCCTGGGCAACATACTAGTACTACTATATTATGCTGCTCACTTCCCCTTGTAAATGAAGTGGAACTCAACATGTCATTAATTCATTTCATCTGCATGAGTTTGMTTTGGAAGAAATATCTCAATCTCTAGTATTTACTTTGACAGCTCTCGATTTGAGCTAACTACCGTTTATTTTACTTTTTGTTCCCCAACATTTTTCCACATCGAGGGACTGTGCTCATTTTCGGATCAAGCTGTGCTTCGTATGATGTGCTTCCGAAACAAYGTTGCTGTGTTTGGCATCTTTGAGGAGCAACCGAAACAAAAGTGCTGATGTRTGAAGATTCTTATAGAGAACGGCTGATCCATGTTTTGGCAAAGCCAACAATATTATTGCCGGCTCCTGGAGACATACCATATCAAAACTAAAGGCTTTCGACATGTTACTATTTGAAGCAAATTGTTCAATTTAAATATTTCAGTATGGCATTACTAAATCCAATGTATCTGCTCCCAAAATGCAGAATATGCCCCGCTGCTCAAATTGGTTGCTGGCTGCAAATGTGACCTAAAAACGATTATACTTTGCTTTTCGAAGTTGAAAAGGAAATGCAAAACCGTYGAATAGCTAGGAGCATGAGCCTTTCTCAGAATCAAAGAATGAATCGTTTCCTTTGCCTTACTGCATCGTCGTTTCTAAGTATTTTGCGGTTTGAAACCTATTGGCTGCTTSAGCAATTAGAATTCGATACCAAACGAAGTTTACTCGAATTGATTCATCCATACAGGCCGTTCATTGTAGCATCCATCTCGTGCCGGACCAAATATACCAATGCATCCAATCCTTCCGCTTCGTTCATAGAACTGGTCGGCAACCAATGGGTCCGGACGTATCCTAGATTGTTCATGAGATCCCAATCCAGAATAGCCTGGCCACCGGTGTTCTTGTTGTTAGAAAAATAATCTCTGCCGCCACGTTCGTTGTAATACAGGATCATCGACGATCCCTTCGGCAGGAAATAGGCTGTCATTGTGCCACCGCCATTGGCRGAAACGAAWATAATGTGCTCCCTGGGTTGCTTCGGCTGGGAAAGCAGTTCGAGTTGCTCACGCAGGGGTAGATCCGCGAGTGTCACCGAAACAATCTCTGTCGTYGGAAAGGCTTCCGCCAGTGCTTTGTGCTGCTCTTCYAGCCCRAAACTCCGGTCGGTGTACGTSGAYGAGTGGGCACTTAAGAGAATCCGAAACGTGATGGTCGTGCTACTAAGTGTGCCGCCACCGGTGTCGTTCGGAATGGGTTCCAAACCCATGTTCCGTAACATAAAATTGCGAAAGGCGTACAGCTCCGGTCCCCTGCCGAGATTCTTTGCGAGGGCTACGTCCAGCGAGTGTGTTTCGTGGTTCATCATCCACCCATGGGACTCGCGTATTCCGTGGTCRGACAACCAACCCATTCCAGCAACAGCGTGCTTCGAACAAACGGGGTGCATAGTCGCTGGTGTCTCGTTTGGACTTGTCGCTGTTTCGGTGGTGGTGTGTTTGGTCAACCGCATCTGGGATGAGGTGGTAAAGGTATTGGGATCTACACCAAACAGCGGCAAGAATTTCTCAAAGCTTTTCCTGCAGGCCTCCTTCTTCTTGGGTCTCAGGTCGCATGTTGCGGACAACGGAGGAAGCGTATCGACACGTATCAGCAARTGCCGAAAGCGTTCCTTGCTGTCGCCATTGGAATCGTTTTGGTCGAAGCCAAATATCCTCAACAAGTTGTAAAGGGGCAAAAAGTTGTCCCACAACAAATGCCCCACGTTGTCCGCTGCCATGGCGTGAAAGGGAACCATCACGACGTCGGAGTCTAGCTCATAGTACAGCTTGGAAGGCATCGAATTGTAAACCCTGGGAGCCCACCGAATTTTGTCGAATCCGTACCCGTAGGGCAGCCATCCACCCGTATCTGGGAGGCGCTCCCAAGAAGGATCGATCGCTCCCAGAGCCACGTTACTTCCCAGGCCGGTGGAAGAGTAATAGACCTTGTTGTTRTTTTCGCTATTTCTTCCTTGGTCGGACGAGGCTGATGGTCTATTGCTGCTGCTGGGGTGAAAGCGACTCGAAAATTCTTGATCGAACCGAGAGGCAACGACAAAGAATTCCGGCGAAGACCCCTCGGAGTCAGAAGTTTTCGCAGCAAAATCGACACAAAGATGGACATACTTGCAGCTCCTGTGTTTCCACGCGGTTGTTTCGTTGTGGGTTTCTCCGACACAGTGTGCTGAGGAATGAAAAGTCTCGTCGCGAAGTCCCCGGCCATTAGTCTTGTCGATGTTAYCCCCGCTGTCTCGCAGACGCAACGGAAAATTGTTGAGGTAGGCATCGGCSGGCCCAGACGCAGTAGTGACTCGAAGAAGGGGCGAGTCATGCAGCAAATCGTTGCTCAAGTTGTCGTCGATAGACCACCACACAAACACGTAGGCGGCCGCAAACAAAACAAAGCAAACATAAATCTTGCTTCGGCGCCTGCTGCGAAYGGGCGTCGCCTGCCGTCGTTTCACGACACCACTCATTGCAACCATATATTTTGGTCTCGGCCGTTTATGTTTTATAGCCTAGTTGTCCAGAGTTTCAAGCAAACTTTCTATTTTGTCATGGCTGTTTTWWATCTTCAAAGAATATCTCATTCGGTAAGCTAATTTGWCACAGCAATTGTAACACTTYGTCGATCTTTCTTCGAAATACAGTAATGTTTCAATGAAAAGGGGGGAACAGAGAGTGGGATCAAAACAGTGCAGTGCGTGCATCCAAAACCCATTCCCAAGAAAAAGCTTACACGTATTTGGGTCTGAGGGCTAGAGTAACGGACAGACATCACAAGCAMAAGTATCGTACAGTTCTACTAGCACGAAGTATGAGTAAACAGTCGACGTACCGTACGGTAGAGGTTAGCTTTCAAATGTCGAACATGCTTGTCTTTCAAGGGAAAAAATGACTCCAACTGGTTCGAACAGGCACAATCGTTGTTGCTTCAAAGAAAGATGAACAATAGTTGCTAGCTCTAAAAGGAGTAATTGGAAAATCGAATTATGCAACATAATAAAATGTTTAGACAGGTTTCGGATATGTCTTAGTCAACGCAAACTAGATTSCATCGATCTTAGAGCATACTAGTTGACGAGGAGTACGTTCAACTACTCATTTTTTCGTTTTTTGACATCTTCCATCTTCGTCATTTTCTGATTAGAGGGTGGTTGTTTGTTCACTTTTTCGACCATCGAGGTGTAGCTAGTATAGAGTGACTGATACTGGAGCGAAYAGGGGCCTTAAGGCCTTATTAATCCACACCTGGGTATTTGAATGAACCGGAGTTTCATACGTGCGAGTCAAGCGATGATTCGTATCTTTCTGATTTCTCTCCATTCAAAATACCATGATTCGCGGAAACAAGTSTTAACCAGATATCCAATTCTGGTGGTCATGGATCGTGGAAGGAAGAAATCGCTGATTGACTAGATTGATTTTCTATCGATTCATTCGTTCTAGTTCCTTTCATGTGCCATGCGTTTGTCAACCCAAAGGCAAAATGAAACGCTCTGATTCCTCTTAATGTCACAATTCCAGGGTTGTTCTGCTCCGGCTCWGTTTATTTGGATCAACTAGAAGGTTGCATCCAAATTATTGAAATAGAAAATGCATGTCATCGTTAGTTCCATTCCGAATTTCTTGGGGAGTCACGTTCCATTGGTTTTGCCCTAGTTTCKTGTATTTTGGTTTCTCAYGTGCAGAAGTTCGTATTGCAGCACGCAGAACAATCGGTGTCGGTGGATCGGACGGTCCATTCGTACATGTCGGCGCTGCATCCGTATATCGACAGACCGGYCGTGCACTGGTACGGGGCCGCTTCGGCTCCGCACAACCTATTCCGTTCACACCAGTGCTTGGGGCACTCGGTGTCGCAGTCTTCCACGACGTTTTCGTCGCTCCCCGGCTGCTGAAGTTGTGAGGCGTCGATCTTTTCCCGGAGGAGCCAGCTGCACCCCGAGGCATCGCACTGGTCGGCGCAAATCGTCTTCGTCCACGGCACCGCACCGCAGCCACCGCGAGCCTGTTTGTYGTGCTGCAGGCTTAGGCAAGCGAACCTYGTCGTCTTGGRGTCTTCGCATGGAGAAGAGACGCATTCCTCGAGGGAGCAGGGGCGGATCCCAAAGACAAGGTCAGAAAGCGAGGCRGTGGAACCCCACAGGCCCTTCACGGAATACTCGTCGTCGTCGTCTTCCTGAGATACAACGCTACCTTTTCCGGCACCTGCTGCRTGTGGGTCGTTKCCTCCTCTGATGATAAGCGCAAACGGCGACAACTCGACGGTGATCAACATGACCCACAGCATGAGTGCTACCATCATAGGGATGTTCAGACGGCCRATGATAGTGGATTTAGTCGATTTTTCGCGAGAAGACATYAGAATTTCGTCATCGCTCCTAAGCGAAACGATAGCTTCTGCGCCGCTAGGCAGAGCCATGGATTGACGCTCCGGATTTTGGTAACTGAAGTGATCCATGGTGTTAAAATATTTTAGTTTCGTTATTGATATTAAATTGTGTTCCGATTTAGGTACTCGTACCGGTATGGTTCGATAAAAAGAATTGGTAGAACGATGGTTTTTTTGTGAAGAACAAGTCGGCGCTTACCGAAAACCTCGGAGTGTTTTTCGCTTCGATTACGGGTACAGGAAATTCTACTCAGTCCCAATGATCCGAATCGTACCTACGTCCGTCGCTATTTCTCATTTTTCCAAAGGAACTAGTATTAAAAACCATTGTGTCTATAGGACGGTACTGGTACGGCGGAAGAGCCACGCACGAAGTGAAAAACAAGATGTCACCTTGTGGACGATCACTGCCTTACGTTAAGGCGCCCCATCGACGCAAGGACGTGATGTGTTGTGCATCTATTACAGCATGCAAGAATCTAAAAATCTCAAGATTCGTTCGAGATTCATTCGGAATACATGCATTTTGTTGTCTTGTTCTGCCGTACAGGTAAGCCTCGAGTACCGGTAGATAGTAATGAACGTACCCTATGTACGTATCTTGAACGTATTACGAAATGTACCAATGCAAGAATGATTCGATTGATTCGACTAATGGACTTATGGCTTTAGTCGATGTAGTCTACCGATAGGGTGAAGCTAGGGTGAAAAGAGATGAGCCTGCTAGAAAGACTTCAAAATACAGTACGTACTGTTGCATCGTACGAACCATACGGTATTTCACGATGGTTCGTGGGCGACGCGTGATGGGACTGATGCCTCTGGATTTCATCTTCTTCAATCTCTGTCTTGCTCTGTTTCTTCCTCTGTTGGGTGACGAGGTGAAACAGAACCCGAACACAAACATGCTTCAAAATACAGTACGTACTGTTGCATCGTACGAACCATACGGTATTTCACGATGGTTCGTGGGCGACGCGTGATGGGACTGATGCCTCTGGATTTCATCTTCTTCAATCTCTGTCTTGCTCTGTTTCTTCCTCTGTTGGGTGACGAGGTGAAACAGAACCCGAACACAAACATGGACAATCATCGATAGGCAAACCATGCAAATCTTATTTTGACCATCACAATATACCATTTGTTGCATGAGAGAGGAAGAAKAATGAAACTATACTCTCCTAGTGCTTTCGGCGTCTATATCGGACGGATTCTCGTGCTTCTCTGGGCGTCTCAATACAATACTACCSAGGTATGCTGTTTCTCGCTTCCGAATTTGAGTCCGATCGCACGGCCGACGTCTCTGTTGGTCCGGAACCCAAAGACACGATCGGGTGACTTCTCCCTGCCATCTGGTGACAAAAACAATTACAATAAGGTCGGGAGAACTCGGTACTTAATATCGGTGAGAGGAGGGAGCAGTGATAACGATTACAAYATGGAAAATAACGAAAGCAACAGACCAAATCAGACATTGCTGACATCTCCMTCTGCATCAGCAGTTGCACCATATTATTTGGTTTGGTCGCCGGGATTTGCCAAAAAATTTGGGCTGGCAACCACCTTTCTTCTTGTGGTCCGCAGCATCCATYTCTCGGAATGGGACTACCTCCGATTCTTCGCTCAGCACAGCAGTCTCTCTGGTTCCGCCCTGTTCAGCCATCCTTCCTTTGTGTCGAACCTTGTATTGCCGCTGTTGTCGAGTTCGTGCTGTGCGCTCCAGCTMCTTATCAACGCGGTGTCGACCCTAATCGGAGCCGGTGCGGGATGTGTCGGATTCAATTCCTTCCTCGGCCCGGTTCGGCCCTATCTCATGGCGGTGCTGCTGGTCTCCAATGCCACGACGGGAATCGTCAAGCCGACGCTCGGTTCCATAGCGGGGTTGGTCCTTCGATCGTCGATCGCCTTTTTGCCGGAACTCGTGTTCTGGCGGAACGAARTCCTCCGCAGCAAATGGCGGAATCGGCGGAACACAAGCGACCAACCGACGGCAACGAGCRCAACACYGGCACCGGAAGACGGTGCTACCGGCACGCTGTTGCGGGCGACGCTGGTCGTAGACGTGCCATCTATGGGCTGTGTGGCCTGCATCAACAAGATCGAATCGAGCCTGAGGCAGTGCTCGCCAAAGAATATCGACGGGGCGACCTCCTGGCTGAACGACGAGGAGACGAACAAKAGCCAGASCGGGAAGAAGGGGGGCCGTGCAAAAATCGAAGTCCGTGCCGAAAGCAGAGACGAGCTGGATGCCGTGACTCGGTCCATTGTGGGTGCCATCGAAGACGCCGGGTTTCGGGGAAACACGGTACGGAGCTTGGACACACGTAGTACGTAAMGCGACAACGCATGCTATTGGTGTGCTCGTTTCTTCCATTATTTWAAARAAATTAWACTCCTTATAAACAACTGTAAAGAACATTTAACTGAAAGACTTTAMATGCCGAATAACTCGTGTGTAATGCTTTTGGTATGCTGCTGCACTGAATGTGTTAAMTGTTCCAAATTCGCAATAAAAAGAAGCATTGATTGTGCCAGAAATAAATTTCGTCGTGGCGACGCTGTCCCGCAACAGAYTTACATGATWWCTTGAATGACGACAATGATAGWAGATTCGGAAGGAACTYGATCGACTGCAGCAATGTATCTTGTTCWATCGAATACTTYGCAACATATATGGCAGAAATTACTCGATGCCACCAACGCAGYACGTATTGTGAGAACTCTTTGTTTCGAAATTATTTTGCGTGAAGTTGTTGAAAAAAGGTTGCAGCAAAGTTAAAATAATCCAGGAAAAGTATTCTATCATTATTACTGTATTTCTATCGCTCACGTTGTAACTTAATGGTATACGTAKGCGACCACAATTTTTTTTCTGTTCTTCGTAATCTAGCAAAAGAAAAAATTATTGTTCGTTTTGAAAGGTCGCCCGGCGCTACCTCTCAATTTTCACGGTACTAATTTGAATTTTCCATCGTCGGCAAAAACAGTCAACCATTACGTTCAAAGCGTTCCATGAAAAAGGATGCAGGTAATCGAAGGTCCAATCATAAGCAAAGTATCTTTCCRAAAGGAATAATCCCTCAGTCCTAAGATGACGATCAGGTCACGTTGCAAAGTTAGTACGACAATCCTGTTTATTGCCTCATCGGTAGMATTGGCATGTTTCCTTCCCTGGTCCTGTTCGGCTTCGTCCGAAGTCGTTCTCGATGCCTCGGGAGAAGCAGAAGATAGCGGGTACTACGACGGCGATGGCAACGACGACGCCATCGATGATCATTACTACGATAATAGCGTCAGAGAAAATGTGTACTGGGAATACGAGGGACTCGAAGATTTTCCGTATTTCCCCGAAGAATTCGCTGCGATGCAAAAGCACATCGATCCAATGGACGCCGTCTTCGAAAAGATGGACGATCAGGGGATCCATCCCGGTCATTTCATACTCGACGATTTCGTCGTTGGGGGCGTYAATCTTGCCACTTACCAGGTGGAACACCCCCCCTTTCAGCTGTACGAGGATTTCGATATCGGCTCTTACGTCGTGGACGGACCGAGAACGATGAGCTGGAAACAGYTGGTCGGGATTCGAAACGGGCTGGAACGTCCATCCCTGAGCTGGTACGTGGACAAGGTCGCTAGGAAGCGATGGTTCCGGGAGCAGGGCWTCTACCCGCAGCCCGAGACCTATCTCGCGAAATACAAGGACGAGCTCAGCGACACGGGGAGGAAGGAAGACGAGACGATGGCCATCCTCGCCCACCTGCCCACCGAGCACGGGTTCTGCGCCAAGCCGACGCACATGTCCATGACGATGGGCAACTGGCTGGTGGACATTCCCCCGAATCGCAGCGGGGCGGGAACGGGAGACGCGCCAAAGTACACCAACCGTGCCCAGCGACTGGCCGCCTCTGGCCAGGGCGGGGCCTACGATCCGCGGGTCTGCGCCGATAGCCTGGCCGAGGGGCTCCAGCGCGAGGCGACCGAGATCGAGTCCTGGGCCCTGAAAAACGTTCGGCCGGGGATCGTCATCGAGGAGCTCTACTCCGCCGGGGAAGACCGGGACCTGCCGCCCCACGAATTCTGCATGTTTGTCGTCTGGGGAAGGGTGTACGCCGGCCAGTGGAACCTAGTGGGGGAGGACCGGTACATGGGAGGGTTTTTCTACCGCGACGGAAGCGCCGCCCCCGGCTGYCCCCTCGACCGRCTCCCCGACTGGGTCCCCTGGAACGAGCTGGTGGAGATTGCGGAGAGCCTCTCTCAACACAAGGACATGTTCCGCGTCGACATGTTCGTGGGGGTCCCGAGGTACAGCGGGGAGGACGAAGGGGTGAGGATTGCCGTGTCGGAGAGCGAGGTGCACCCCACCACCATGTTTTGCAACCCGTTYATTGCCGAAGAAATGGCCCGCCTCTGGGTCGCCGGCTACCGGATCGGCAGCTACGAGGTCATCCCCAACGACGAGGTGCCCGTTGGCTTTTACGGGAAGAGCGTTCCCGGGGGGACGCCCGGCGGTTTGCACCGGAAGAAGGCCAGCAGCTCTGGCCGCCGCGCCACGACCGAAAGCGGGTACGTGCCGTGAGGGAGGAGGCCAAAGACAAACGCGGCGCAGCGCGGGGAGTCGAGTTTCGATTTCGATGGCAATCGAATCGCACCCGCGGGGCTTTCGTTTTGCGAGCACCRCATTCGAGGTGCCGCCGAGTTGTCGATCGGCGATTCCTAGATTCCAGTGGCAAAGGAACACCTGCACCATCTATTTGCATCGTGTCGTGTGATCTACCATGCTCTCACTCCAGCACATGCTGGTTCAAGGGTGTGGGATGCCGAAACGCAAAAAAGGAAAAAATCCATCGAACGAGATTCTATCTCGTCAGACCATCGCATACCATCGGTCTCTGTTCCGCTGCATACTATCATTCGACCGACACGCTAATAACTTTTTGGAAACAAATAAACTCAAATCCGTGRTTTTATTTTTACAATGAATGGTGCATCTACAAGTATTCTACAGCGCTTGGTGGTGGTTGCGTAGTTAGTTAACGATTGGCTTGGTGGCTTGGTCGTGCGAAAGGGCTAGTGGGATGCCTGCTGGCCGCCCCAGATCTTCCGGGGCAGCGAAAAGGCGGAAGCAAACCGKCCGTGGGGTTGCTGGCTGCCGGCCGACCCGCTGGCGACGGACCGGATGAGGGAATCCCGAAAGGTCAAAGCGGAAAAGTCGTCGTCGTGGGGCCGGTGGATGCCCGCGCTGCCCTCGCCGCTCCCCTCCTCCGCCACCGACCGGAGGACGACGTCGACAAACTCCGGGAGCTTGAAGCGGGCCGCCTGGGCCGGGTCGTCCCGGTGGAGGGGGGAGGGTGCCAGCCGGGGGGCCTCCTCCCGGTAGCCCAGCCCGTTGGCGTCCATGATGGCCCGGACCTTGGCCTGGACGCGGCCGTCGAGCTTGTAGTACCAATAGTGGGCCCAGAGGAGGCCAACGAGGGAGGCCGCGCAGGAGACCCCGAGCAGGACCGTGGCTCTCCCGTGTGCGCTGGTGYTTTCCTTGCTGCTGCTTCCCTTGCCCCCCTTCCGGTCCCCGGCCCCGAGGACCATCCCGTAGAGCAGCCAGGCGACGACCGAGACGATCCAGTAGGCCACCACGAAGGCGCTCACCTTGTTGGCCCTGGCCCTCGCCGCCGCCCGGCCCTGGAGGACCTCGGAGACCCCCAGCCGGTCGCTGGGCGTCGGCCAGGGAAGCGAGAGGACCACGTCGTCTTCCAGGTCCCTCAGGTAGTCCCGGTGGAGCCGCCGAAAGCCACCGGCGACGTTGGCCCCCCCGGCGTGGGGCCGGTGGGGATGGTGCGGGGACGGGTGCAGAAAGTTGCTGTAGTCCGCGTGGACGTTGCTTCCACTGTTGCCGCCAGCGTCGTCGTTGATGCTGTTGGTATTGGCGTTGGGATTGGCATTTGCGTTGGGATTGGCATTTGCGTTGGGATTGGCGTTGGGATTGGCATTTGCGTGGAGGTTCCTTCCGCTGCCGCAAGGGACGCTGTCGTCGTTGTTGACGATGCTGTTCGCGTACGCATCGGTTTGGCTCGTGCCTTTTGCCGCCTCCACGTCCGTGTCCGTGTCCGTGTCCGTGCCCGCCCCGTGATACTCAAAGGCGGCATCGATGCTTTCGGCACCGGCCCGGGATCCCGCGTGGTTGTTGCCGGTGCTGCTGATGCTCATGCTCGTGCTCATGCCGACCGACGCTGTTGCAATTGCGCGGCCCCGTGCCAGCGAATCCTCTGGTGATCTCTTGTGTTGCCTCGTAGATATTGCGTTKCCTTGCGTCGAGGATGGCACCGTGCCGAAAGAAATGTACCGTACCGTAGTGGCTTGCTAGCTAGCTAGCACGAACGCAACAAATTGTTGTGACGGGAGGCAGTGGTGCAAGGCGGGATCGGTGGAAACCTTGTGCGAGTAGAACGATCCGGAAACAAGAAACTGCGGGCTGTTGTTTCGTTCTTCCGTTCAAAGTTATCGGCGGTTACGTGCTCGTAACTACCGCATGGGATGGCATGCGATGTGCAATCTTGATACAGAACGGTATGGGTCCAACAGAAGATGCTAGTCCATCAAGAGTATCGCTCGTTCCGAAGCAGCAGCCGGATATGACAGTACAGAAGCCTACAGGAGTATACGGAGGTGAGCATCGGTTCTCGTTCGCGGAGTGGAATGGAATGGCGCGATAGGTACGGTGCGCGCAGGTAGGTTGGAGGACAACCTGCAACCTACCTACACCGAATGTTCTTAACGTACTTCGTAGTACATACCATACGTAGTACCGGTAGGACGTAGTAATTCTTTGGAATTCGGGCATTCGGTCGTGTGAAGGAAATTTCCGGCCCAACACCCCTAACGGCATTCGGGCCTGGGGGGCTTCCGTCGTTGGATTCGACCCATACGACTCAATTTGGTCTTCTCCGGTCGTCGTCCCGAGTCGCAAGAACTAGACCTCTGGATCCTCGGAATCATCATCCAAAAACCAAGATCTCGCACGACAACCGCTACAGCTACTGCCAGTTATGGTACTTTACCTGGTACGATACAAAGCCGCTTCACGAAACGAGACAAAACGACACGGAGCAACGAAGAGCCTCTCGATTTCAACTCTTGCCGCTACGGCTCTATCGTCGAAAGTTCACAAAAGCCCTCCCATCCATACAGGAGAATCTTGTTGCGACGCAACCGAAGCAGAATACTCGTACATCCCGTCGACARCGGAACTCCGCGACGCAAAACTCTGCGAAACCAAACGAAGCAAATAACAATCCCAACGAATCGCCACCCCAGCCGCCATCCCAATCGCAATTGCAATCGCCATGGCCACCAGCAACAAATACGACCGGCAGCTCCGCTTGTGGGGGGCCCAGGGACAAAAGGCACTCGCGGAAACCCGTGTGGTTTCCGTGGGGGCCTCCGCCGCCGGAACCGAGACCCTGAARAACCTCGTCCTGCCGGGGATCGGCGCCTTTACGGTCATGGATTTCGTCGACGAACCTTCGGYCGGAAACCAGGGAGGGAGCCATCCCGCAACGGGTGCCACCGGAAGGGTCACGGAGAAAGACGCGGCCTCGAACTTCTTTCTGCCCCTGGGGGACACCGAAACCAAAACCGAAACCGAAAGCGTTGCCACGAGAGCAGAGGTCGCCTGCAAGCACCTCGGGGAGCTCAACCCCGACGTGGCCGGATCCTTCCGGAACCTYCCCCTCGACGGATCGCCGCGCCCGGACGCCCCTAGCTTCTGGAAGACCGTCCTGGAGGAGGAATCCCTGCGGGCAACGAGCGATTCCGGGGCGAAGGAACCCGGCGGCGCGGATGAATCCCAACCACCGAAAACGAGCAGGCTCCTGGTCGTTGCGGCCGACCTGGTCCCGGACGTCCTGGAGGCCCTGGCAAAAGCCTGCTGGGACTCGGGCCACCCGCTCGTTGCGGTGACCTCCTACGGTTTGATCGGAACCGTGCGGCTCCAGCTCCCCGAGAAGGGGGCCGTGCTGCTCCAGCCGAAACCGACGAATTCCCCCCCCGATCTGCGGCTGGTGACCTCCTTTCCGGCCTTTCGGGACTTTGTCGAGGACGTGGCCGGTGGCGATTCCCTCGGGGCCATGGACAGCGCGGAACACGGCCACGTTCCCTACCCGGTGCTCCTGGCCAAGGCCATGGAAGGCTACCGGGCCGCCGCCAACTCAAAGGCAGGGGACACAAGCGGGGACGGTCCGCGGGACCTGCCCAGGACCTACGCCCAAAAACAAGACTTTGTCAACAACTACGTCAAGCCCATGGCCAGAGACTACGACCAACAGCTCAACTTCCAGGAGGCGGTGTCCAACGCCTACCTCGCCTACACCGAGCGGGACCTGGGCTGGATGGACCTGCTCGCAAGCACCGTGGCGAGGGAGAGCAAGCTGGGGCGGCTAAGGTCCGCCCTCGAAACCTTTCTGGAGGAACACCCCGACCACCGTCCGCCCCTCAACGGGAGCGTCCCCGACATGACGGCCTCGACGGCCCTCTACGTGCGCCTGCAGCAGCTSTACAAGGACCAGGCGGGGGAGGACCTCCGAASGATGGCGCGGATCCTCGAGGAGCAGCAGCGCCRGGAACCGGAGGGSCGGCAGCTGGAGCCGGTCACCGGCGACGACCTCGCCAACTTTTGCGCCAACGTCTATTCCGTCGGGCACGCAMRGACCCGGAGCCTGGCCGACGAGGACAAGGGGGAGGCCTCCACCCCCGGGGAGCTCSAGGACCTTCTGGACGACTGGAAGGCGGCCCTCATGGACCCCTGCGAGGTGCCCGTCCACACGCCGCTGCTGTGGTACCTGGGCGTCCGCGCCGCCCAGGCCTTTTGCCAGAGGGAGGGCCGGTACCCCGGGTGCGTCGATGTCTGCGGAACGGCCGGAACGGGCCAGCTGGAGGAGGACGCCTCMCTCCTGGAGGAGCTCCTGCGGGAGACCATTTTCCCCCGCTACGGGCTGGGGGGCGAGGACCTCCTCTCGTCCAGGGAGCACACGGAACGGATCGCGCGGGAGCTGGCGCGGTACGGAAACGCCGAGGTCCACGCGGTGGCCAGCGTCGTCGGCGGGGTGGCGGCCCAGGAGGCCGTCAAGGTGGTGACGGGACAGTACGTTCCCCTCGACAACACCTACGTGTACAACGGGATCGTTTCGGTCGGTGGGGTCTACCGGTTCTAGGAGGAGAAGACGGATTTTTTTAAAAAAACCAATGCAATGCAAACGGAACCRCCGGAACCGAATGCACCCTTTCGGAGGAACGCGGCAAAGACCTTTTCGCCGAGCGAGCGTCGATGCCGATGCTCCTTGCGAGGCCAGCCCTTGATCCGGCTGCGGGAGGTTCCGGCGTTGCGTTCCGTTGCCGTGTCTTGTGTTGCGTTGTGTTGTGTTGTGTTGTGTTGCCGGGCACCACCGAGCCGGAGCCCAATGGATGCACCGCAAGACACCGCCACGCCACGCCACGCCACCAAACCCCTCTTGTCGCGCAGCACAGCCCCTGGAGTGGCCTTCCCCGAGCATTCCCGGGCGTGCCCTGGCTGGGGCAGCAGCAGTACCGGTTCACTGGTGCTTCGGCCCACGGACGGTGGCAGAGCACACTCCCACCACGCAACAAAAAAGTTGCTTATGCTAGAAACAATCGGTGGCAATGACCACCAGCGCAATACCTAGGATGTTTGATTCGACGCAACCGGCAACACGATGTGTGTCCAGTGGGGTTTTTGCCCCATCTGATTTTATTGTCGTTATTATTATTTGTAGTACTGTAGTAGGAAGCAGTGYCRCCTCTGCGATGCTGTTTGCGCACCACCGGATCGKYAGAGGCGGCAACCGCCGGGTCGTGGGGAGCTCGTGGCGCRGTGCTGCGACGACACACGGGAGACCGAGCCGGTCTCTGCCATCTCGAGCTACCGCGCTTCGCGAATCGAAGGGTGGAAACGGGCCGCTTCGCCGTCGTTTCGGACGAAAACACGCAAACGATGCAATACACCGAACAACACCCTTGTTTCGTGTTTGGATGGATCCATCATTCTCCRTATTAATTTGAATAAGATCGTTTTCATATATTTTTTTCTACGAGTACGTACGGTGCACGCTGTGTATGTATGTTTGTATGTATGTATGGCATGGCTTGGCATGGCATGGCTTGGTCGATCCGTAGCCACCGTATGCTGGCAGGCAATGGGGTCGATCGCATCCGMCACCCGATTGTGGCAAGGAGCACGGGTTCCGGCTCGTGGACACACGCGCTTTTCTTTTTCGTCCATGGCCGCGGCCCACTAGCTAGTTCTCGCCGTGGCGCTTGCTCTCGTCCTCCGTTTTCCTTCTTCCCGCCGGTTCCCCCGCACCACCGCCGGGGGAGGGCTCCCCCCGCGTCCGCGCTTCCTTACGCCGCCTCTGGTTTCTGCTTCCGGAGCCGCTCTCGCTCTCGCTGCACGAATCGCGGTCCCGGTCRCGCCTCTTGCTCCTGGTCCTCCTTCTCCTCGAGGAATCCTTCCGGCTCTTCCCGGATCTGCTTCGCCTCGACGATTCGTGCCTCCGCCGCCTTCGTCTCCTCCGCCGGTCGCGCCCCGAGGAATCGGAATCGGACTCCGAGCCGGAATCACTGCTGCTGCTGCTGCTGCTGCTGCTTTCGTCGGAATCGCTGCCCCCGGAACGGCGGCGGTGGCGTTTCTTCCTGCGCCGTTTTCTCTTCTTTTTTCTGCGTTCTTGCTCGTCCCTTCGTTTGGACCCGGATCGCTTGCGGTCCTTTGCGGACGGTTTCTTGTCGCCGTCCCCTTCTCCTTGGTCTTCCTCCTCTTCTTCCTCGACGAATTCCTCCTCGCTGCTGCTGTCCGGATCGTCCAGGAGCCGGCGCAGGCCCGGATCCATGCTTCCGTGGCCACCCCCGATGCCCCCCACAAGATTCCCCCCGCTCCTCCGGACCTTCCCCCGCTTCAGCCCCAGGTAGAGCTTTGCGGTGAAGCCCTCCCGGTCGGCCCCGTCCGTGACGTTCTGCGTCCGGGCCAGTTCCATGACGTTCCGGACCTTCTCGGCCGTCTCGGCTTTCCTGGCCGGGGTGTCTTCCTCCTCCCCGTTGTCGTGGTTGCCCCCGCCGATGGTCTTGGACCAGATGCCGTGGGTTCTGAGGGCGTCCGACGTGCACATGCGGTTGTTGTGGGGCATTCGCACCCTTCCGGCGGAGGCCGGCATGATACGATCGCTGCGTGTGGGTGGAGTGCCAAGCGGCAAGAGCAGTATCGAATCGAATCGKATCGAATSGAATSGAATSGAATGGAACTGATGCAGAAGGCGGTTGCTCCTTCGAGTTTGGTTCCGGCAGAAAGGGAGGCAAGCGGTCCGTTGCCTATTGTATCTACCTGCGCAACAGGAAGCAAATACAGTGTTGCAGCTGTCTGTCTGGTTTGGGACGTCTTCCTGGTTCTCGATCAGAAACACGAATCGGTCTTCTCTTCGGCGAGTCTTTCGACAGGGACGGAACCGTCTGTGCTCTGTATGCCTCAAAGGGGGTTTTCGTTTTTCGGTTTTCGGCTCCGGTGAACTCTGAACTACCGTACCGCAGCTCCTCTCTCCGCACCATGTACGGACGTTCACGAAAATGGGGTACGGGGAACGGTATCATAGCTACTACTAGTACTCTACGTATGTACAGTACCACGTTAATGCTTTTCCTTTCCTTTTTCGTTTTCGTTCTTGCGTCACGTTCGATTGCCGTTTTTGAAAAGACGCGGGAAAAAGCCAGGGGAGCCGGACTAGTAGGAATCCTGTTCCCTCGATCCCATCCCCGAAGCGGCATACGAGTACGCACATAAAGCAAAGGAAACCAAATTCGGCAAGCCATAGCAAAGGCCGGTTGTGTTTGTTGGCCACCGTTGTGTTTCATTGCTTTCCCACTCTGGCAACCATTGACAACAAAGCGTCCGCAAAACCGAAAACAAACGCACCCCACCGACCGGCAAAGGAGAGAAAGAAACAACACACAGGCCTTCGATTTCGAGCCAGCAATAAGCATAAGCACAACATGCGCAGCGATTCCGCGGGTGGCGGTGGGAGCTACGTTTCCGCCTCTGCGTCCGCCCCGAAGATGCGGCACCGCACCACCCCCCACGCGAGAGCCGCAAGCGGCAGGAGGGGCACCGCCGCCAACGGAMCCGGCGAGAGGAGCCAGAGAAGCCTGCGGGGCAACAGCTGCTGCCTCCAAGGGATGGTCCTCCCCGCTTTGTGCCTCTTCGTGCTGGTGGCATCGKTGCAGCTCGCCATGAATGCGCTGCTGTACGGCAGCGGGAAGAACCAACCGGGCACGGTCCTTCCGGACGCGGGCCTCCGGGGCCGGAACGGGCACCGCGAGCACACCCAGACCGCGGGGAACTCGTACGATTCCCTGCTGAAGAACACCATCCACTACGCCCATCGGGGCAACTACAGCAACAGCAGCAGCAACAACAACAGCAACAGCAGCATCGACGCGGCGGTGCTCTCCGCCCTCCAGGACGAAATCGACAACCTGCGCTCCCAGATCACCACCCTAGAATCCAAGTCGCAGAAATACGTGGACGATCCGCGGTTTTTCCCCTTTGTCATTCGCGATTCGAGGCACCTGACGCCCGTCCAGGTCGACCCCGACTTTCACGTCTTCGACTACGTCGATCTGACCCAGGCGCTCCAGCCCAAGTCCAARCACTCGCAGCTCCTCCACAACGCGCGGATCGTCGTCGACGACGAACTCGAGGAACGCCGCCGAGCGGGGATCACCAAGATCCCGAGGTACGCCGAGAAATACGAGGCGCCCTGCCAGATCTACAGCGTCGAGTGCTACCGGAAAAAGGTCCTGCAGGTYTTTTCCTACATCCTCAGAAAGTTTCCCAGCGTGGAGTACTATTTCTACGTCGAGGCCGACAACGATTTGTGCGTCCCCATGACGATGGTCAAGGACCTCGCCCTCACCGAGAAGCGCTACTTCATCAACACCGGGATTGGCTTCTCGGGATGGATCATGAGCCGGGAGTTCCTCGGCGACTTCATCGAGCTCTACGGGAACTCCACCCTCGACCGCAAGGTCACCAAGGTAAAGCCGGGGACGAACGAAACCGTCACGGAGAGCCCCGAGATCCGGCCCGACGTCCTGGCCAGCTACTACCTCACCGACAAGCAGGCCTGGACGGTCACGAGGCAGTACTGGGTGAGCCACACCACCCTCGAGTCCCTCGGGATCGCCTCGCTCACCGTCAAGGACCGCCGCAAGAACGCCACCGGGGAGCGCATGAAGCTCGACAAGCACCTGCCCCGGTGCCTCGAGCCCCGCCGGGGCAAGTGGAAGGTCAGCCGGAAGAAGCCCTACCTGGACCCCCGGGACCGCTTCGGCTGGGACTACTTCGACTACGAGGTCTGCCCCAACGAGCTCCTCTTCCCGTGCGGCGGGCCGGACCAGCTGAAGAAGCTGGTCGCCGACGACCTGCGGGTGGCGAACGAGACCGGGGCGCTGGCCAAGTGGGCGAAGATGGCCGAGCAAAAGAGGCGCCGGGAGGCCGCCCAGGCCGCCAAGAAGCGGGCGGCGGGGGAGCAGAACCCCACGCCCAAGGAGAAAGCGGCCGCCTTGCGGGAGCGGCTGCGGAGGGAGGAAGAAGGGCGGCARGAAGCAAAGCGGAACAAGGAGTAGGCAGAACCACAACACCGCCGCGCGGCAACCACGCAACGGAACGCAGCTCGGCGCGGCACGACACGACACGCTGCCACACGAAACGAACGGAGATTGGCACGAGAAGGAGGTGCTGCTGTTGTGGAAAWCTAGAAAGAAGATTCGTGGTCGATCCGATATGGCCTCTTCCGTGAAACTCGACCCACGATTTTCGAACCTTTCTCTCTCGATCGGAGTCACTGCGTGGCTGTTACCATGCCATGGTTCCAAACAACAAACGAAGTGCCACGCGTGCTCGGGATGCAATGATCGAGACCACGCTAGAACCTTGTCGSCGGTGAGAAAACCGCACAAACGAAGAACCATTGCAACCGACTCASAACAACAGGCATTCATYGAATCCAAAGTTGTRATTCTTGTGCAAGAAAAACATATTTATCAGGGGATGGAGATTMATCKATTTTTCCCAAAGAATCCTCCCGTTTCGATGATGATACTTTGAKGGAGTTGCTCTTTCAATATTTCAAGATCGCAGTCCAGGTCGATCAGTTGCGGAAATGCCATCCACTGGCTCAAAGTGTGTTCGTGAAAAATGAGTCGGAATGATTCTCATACCATCTACCGGAACCAAAATAACTACCACGATTTCATTGGTCGATACACCATTACCAACAGTCGTTCGAATCGACACTCACTGCATGAACGAATGATCACTAAATTTTTAGACATTGTTGAAGCACTTTTCATCAATCGACAAAAACCAACCTATTATATAGCTTAAAGAGTTTTAGTATCTGTCGCATTCGAATCRTACTGAGACGAATCAATCCACGCGATATCCTTCAGTTTGCTTACACAGCGCTTCTTGTCATCGATTCTCGTCATCGATTTTTCCCGAAATACTCCTTCGAGTGCTTCAATATCATCTCGTACGACAAAAAGGTGACGCAGCAGTTGGGAATGACTCTCACCAGCGTCACCCCTAGCCCGTTGTAAAACCCCAGAACGCCCTCGTTTCGAAAAATTTGTTTGGCGGTTCCCGATAGCGTGGGCGACGCCGACGATCGGTTGTCGACCATGCGACTCCTCAAGACCTCGTGGGGGTAGGAGAGCAAACTCGCCGACATTTTTGCCATTCCCGAGGCCAGCAGCAACTCGGTCACGGTGTTTTCCGACAACGACGACGTTGACTGTCCACCGAGAGTTTCGTTGTTGCTTCCCTTGCGTCGCTCGCGGAGGTACCCCTTCAGAAATTCATAGGCCGGGAATTGCACCGCACAGTGGGACAGGCCGATCAGGTTGGCCGTCATTCCTCTCCAAAAGACGGGCAAACCGTTCTGGGAGTACAGCCGGCTCGCCATTTGGAGCATCGATATTCGTTCCCCGGTAGYGCGAACGGTGCCGGCTCCGGCGGCCGATGTGGCAGACGTCAGCTCGTGCAGGGCCTGTGTTTGTAGCCGCGTTCGGACGACAAAAAACGGGTTGCAAATCAAATCGGCAATGGCACCGGTGAAAATTGCCGACATGCAATGCACCACACCCGGATGATAGTCCCCGACCAGATCGATGCCGAAGTGCTCTTGCGGYAGCCGGCTGTTTTGCAAAAAGTGYTTTGTCTCGTCGTACAGAGGAAAGTAGACACCCCAGAACAGGGGAACCGTTACCARGGTAGCTCCCAATCCACGAAACATGCCCCTGGGGCCTTCCTTTTTCAGAATCACCCGGAAGGCTTCGGCCGGAGTAATCGGTTTTGATAGTTTGAGGCTACTGCTACCGGGTCGCTGTTGTCGGTGAACCTGTTTCAACTTTTCTTGTTCCTGCTGGATATCTCCCCAGACCTGCATTCTCGTTCGTATCAAATCTAGAGGAGCGCAAACAAAGCTAGAAAGGGCACCACTCCCTACCCCCGCAAACAATGTAGAGAAATAATGCACGTGATCTCGCCGGYTGTTATTGTTTCTGGTTGTATAGAGTCCCCCYTGCTGCAGTTTGTCTTGCAGCTGCTCCAGGTTCGTTTCCAACGAGTCCGCTTCCCGCCCTTTGGTGTCGGTGGCGGCGGTCATCGTTTTTCCCGCGATTCGTGATTCTCCTCTGCCGCAAACAGTGAATCTTAGTCGTTAACATTCGCTCTAGTACGTAATAATGAGGATCTGTGAAGGCAGCAGTCTGTCGTTGRTCATTTGTCCTGTTCTGCTAACCAAAACAAGTTTCGTTTGCTGAAAAATTGGAAATTCGTCGCAAATTCCAAATTCCAACGTTCATAAAAAAAATTCACATCGGACCGGACCATCCACCAAATCGCATACGAGTACCTGGTACCGTTAGCTGACTGATTGGCTCGCTAACGCAGTTGAAAGCAGTTTCTAATACTACGATGCAAAAACTAAGTGTGTGCCAGCAACAGGTGGGGAAAACACAAGTAATTCAGGTTCTGTTTTGCCCTGTTTCTTACATCAAAAATTGGCCACCAACTACATAAACTTTGGTTGAGCTATTACTACTAGAACATTCTATGGGTTCCCAATGACATAGTAGACATCTAAGTAATTTTATCAATAACAAGGACAGGGCCCTTAGTAGTCTGGTGATCTAATAGTAGAAGTTTTTTGGGTCACTTGTTGCTGGTGGCCTATTTTGTAACACAGCACCAGTTGGTGAGTTTTCAAAACAGCAGCAGCAGCAACAACAAAATTTGGCCATACCAGCTTGTTGTGTTTGATGAGCATGCCACCAGGCACCACTGTAGACCTAGTGGTTCTTGGGACACTGGCACACACACACACACATCCCAAATGCTATGACTGGTGCATGAGAATATCGCCAAAGAAGAAGGAAAAGACATTCTTTGAGGCCATTCCACCAGAGCAGTTCTAGTGGTCTCAGGAACACTGTTTCTATCCATAAAGAAACTAAGTATGTAGAACTGATGTGTACTAGGCTGCAGTAGGACAAAAATTGCAGTTTGCTGTTGTTGGTGGTGGTGGTTTTGTTGTTGTTCCTAGGTGCTTTGAAACAGTACTCTTGTTGGCTTGTTGAAAGGAACTAGTACTGGCAGTACTACTAGAACTAACATTTTCAGCACTAGTACTACCAGTTCCTAAAAAGTAGTAGTAGCACCCACCACTACACCACCACATCTCTCAAAGATTGTGTGTAGTACCTTCTTGTTCTTGTAATAGAAGAATATTTTTGAAGCATGATGTTTTGGCATGGATTTAAGTCAATTCCTTGAATGTCATAGTTAATCTTGTTGTCATATTTCTTCAACCCCTACTGTTGAATGTCTTTCTATATTTCATTGTTGTTAACTTCAGCAGTATGTTTTAGTGCAAGAAGTGTCTGCTACTACCGATCACTGGTAAAATTTCCCAGCACTTCTAGTATCACTTGATTGGGAGACTTTGTTTGATTACTTTGTGAAAGAGTATCCTCAGATTGGTCATCACACAATTTTCTAATCAGCATTTTCTTCTTTAGAGGAGAGGCAATGATACTTCTTATTCTTGTACTACTAGTAGAAGTCCATTACTAGTAGTAGTAGTAGTAGTACTTTGTTTCTTGTTCAACATCACTTTTCAAGTGAGTATGTGGTAGTTGGTTTTGTGCACACCTGCTATGTCAGAAAGCAAAGAAATATTTATTCTTAGTAGCCCTTCTTGCTCTTGAAAAAGAGAGAGTTATAGTAGTACTATYTTTGAATGTCTTGGATTTTATGCTGGCCAATCACCTGTCAGCAGTACTAATCCATTACATACAATTGCAAAAGATGGTCATGCTGGTTTGCCCCCRAAATAATTTTGGCTTAGCATAAGTACTACTAACTTCTTATTGCCAGATAATTTTATAAAAGTTGACCCTTTCTGTCTCATTTGAAAACCAATTAAAATAGATTGAMGTTTTTGAAGAAAACTTCAATCAGTTGAAAAATATAGTTGAACACCAGGACACTTGGTGATGATGATGGTGATGTCAAGATGTTGCCCCAAAACCCTTACTACTAATACTTGGTGGTGACCAATTCACCAGTCAGATTGAAGTTTAATATTTAGTAGAAAATTGATCAATCAGGCTAGCTTCATGATGCTGCCAATAAGAAGATGTTGTTGCCAAATGGTTTGTAGTGCAGACAAGGCATCATACTAAAAGCAAGAACAATAAGTTCTCCACAAATGATGGTACACATTTCTCTGTAAGTGTTTTGTTTGAAACCAACCCCACCACCAACATTGGGTCAACAGTTCAAAAACAACTCAAAGAGAATGCATTTCCAAACAAACTMACATCATGACACAAATTGTGACATCAAACCATTTTCAAATAAATTGCAATAACAGCATGCTGAGGAATTTACATGTGGGGMAACAGTTGTTGAAATAATTTCAGGCTCTTCTGAASAAGGTCTTWCCAGCCAGCATTTATCATCAAYCAAGTACCTTAATAGCACCTGGCCTACTGATGACAAATTTCTTTGGAGAGTTCTAGCTTTGAGCRATTTTGATCAACATCAGTTTGAGATTTTGAAAAATCACATGTGGTCTTCAGAGGATCACGAAGTTGAAAGTACTAGTAATGAGACTACAGACCAAGAAAGATATTCTTTGTCCATTTTGARTGATGTGGATGTGTTTGATTTCTTTCATTTTTCMAAAATGAGTCTGTCAATGAAACCAAAAATGGTTTGTTGTTGAAGGATTTACTASTASTARKRAGGCCTTTGTCCAGGAAATGGATGAAGTTCAGAATGCCACTGTTCCAGGAGGTCATGGAAGAAGACAGAGCTAGAACAACAATGGCATCCCTATGCCTGATGATGTTACCCTTTAACAAGCCTTAAGCACCCCAAATTTATTTTTTCCAATTCAAAATGACCTCAGTACACTCTTGAAGATGATGTCAACAATRAACCTTTCCGTCTTTGTGTTGAACTTCARGTTGCTGGACAAGTTGTTGGTGCTGGTACTACTACTACTATGACTGGAGAACACTACTTCAAACCACTGTAAAGGAGCGGTACTTCTATGCTTTGAATCAGACCAACAACCCCTAGAATTTGTGCAGTTCGTACATGTGCCAGACCCCCTTCTTTTT